AAAAAAGATAACCAAGGGCAAAGTACTAAAGGCTTTACAAAAAACAAAATCTTAAACAAGATTCAGAAAAAAACAAAATCTTAAAAAAGATTCAGAAAGAAACAAACCAAAAATTATAACACAATCCAAGAAAAAAATGAGTTACAACAGCTACCAAAGCAAAAATTTATAGAGAAATATAATAGATTAGATTATAAAAATTGTATATCAAGCAAGTAAAGAATATATATAAGTTAAGAATAAAAACTACAAAAAGAAGAGAAAAAAGCTATTAGTAAAGTAGATTCAATAATCTAGATCTCAGTAGACTATTGATATAAATCTAATACAAGATATAATAGCAGAAAAACTAATAAGAGTCAAGAATTTGAAAAGAAAAAAGAAGAATATAGTTTTAAAGGTAGTAAAAAAATTCTAGTAGAATTGTTTAAAAACTGAAAAGTCTTTATTAAAATACAAGAGAAGTTTCTAGAAAGAAAATTAAACTTAAAAAGAAAAAAAAAAAAAAAGATATACAAGTCTAAAACCAAAAAGAAAGAAAACTTAAACAGACTAATCAAGACTTAGAAACAAAAAACTAAGAACAGCCACAAGAATTTTGAAAAAAAGAAATTCTATAAAAAAATACATATAAAAAAGATCCTTGGAATAAACTTTTAAGAAGAAAAAAAAGAATACAGAGCTACAAAATAGAAGGAAAGTATAAAAAGAAGATTGTAAAAACTTTTTAAGAGTTGAGACACCAATTAGAAAGAACAAAATAAATTAAAAGAAGAGGAAAAGAAAGTTCAAATACAATTAAAAGAACTTTGGTAATAATACATTAGTAAAAACAAAATTAAATTAAGTATTAATATAAAACTAAAAATAGATTATTGGTTTAAAAAGAAGGGTAGATTAGAAGAAAATTACTACAAAATTGAGTTTAGTTAAAAATTTTTTAATATGAAGTTATCTTTCTATAGCTTTATTAGCTAGCTTGACACAATTTCTAGTACAGACAATAACCTTAACTAGTTAGCAAACTGCATTTAGACACCCATAGAGAAAGCCAAGTGATATCAAATCTATAGTTTAAATAGTTATAGTATGTACTTGTATATATACTTAGATCTAATAAAGAATACTGGCAAGGTTGCCAATAACTTCGAAAAAAAAAGAAAAACTTTATCTTGCTTAAATATAAAAAAATAACAGATTAGAATATTTAGTAAAATATAACTTAAATATAACTAAATATATATAATTAAAATTTTTTTAAAACTATTATTTTATATAAAAACTATAAAAATCTTAATAAATAATAGTTATAAAGTTTTAAATATTTTTTAATAATATATAAATAAATACTTTTTCTATAAATTTTTATATAAAACAAATTTGAAAAAATATCTTTATAAAAACGTTTATAACTTTACAAGTAAACTAATTTTGATATTTTAAGCAAACTTGTTTGTTTACTATTTTTATATATATTATTAAATTTTTAAAATTTTAGCTTTTAAACTTATTAAACAAACTATAAAAATTTTTATAAACCAAAAATTTTATAAACTTAAATATTTTTTAAAAGAGTGTTGCTAATTTGCCCTCCTGATTACATAACTACCCCATTATGCTATCTTAAAAACTAGACTAAATAACCATATTTGATACATTAAGTAAAAATATTCAGCACTGTAAAAAACCTTATTCTAGCCTATCTTTAACCCTAACTCTAAACTCTAACTCTTTTATAATATTAATCCTAATTTTAATTTAAAATTAAAATAAAAATTAATAATAAATAATGGGTGGTTAAAATTAGTCTTAATCTTTTTAAAATTATACTAAATAAATTATCTTTATTCCTTAATACAAAATTATTTTATTTTTTGTATAAATATTTTAATATATAATATATCTTAAAAACCAAAATTCAATAACTTATAAATTATAACAAAATTTTTTAATATACTTCTTTTTAATTTATTCTGAAATTTACTAAATTAATCTTAGTTTTGTTTAAAATAATTTTGTTTTGCTTACTAAGAAGATCATTTTAATATATAATTCACTATAAATCGGCCAAACCATTATTTTTTAGCATTTTATTTTGCTAGCAAACATTAAGAGAATATATATTTTCCTACAATATTTAAAAAAATATTATATTTTCATGATAGGAAATAGTATATACAATAGAACTGCAGCTCAAATAATGTAATTTTTTAAAAAATATTTTTTTCATAATTAAAAAAAAAGAGTGTATGTACTACTTTGATGTTTATTACAATGTAAATCTAATAATTAATATTGTTATACAATATATTAATTAACCGGACAAATTAGTTAACCAAATTTCTTTTTGTATCGAAATTATCTACCAATTATTACACCAATAATCAGTATCCGAAATCGCATACAGGCCAGTAAAAAAACCGGCTTCAATTTATTTCGGGCGACGCTAGGGCTGTTCATGAAACATTGGGGTGTTCAGTATAATATGTAAATCAAAATCATATAATAAAAATTTATTAATGAAGATTTTTGACAGATGCATAGTCCTAACGGTTTGAAGATTTGGTCAGAATTTTGCAAAGACCAGTATTTCATCTCTACAAAGTTACAGTGCCATTTTTTGAAAAAAGAAACTACATTTTTTCTTGCCTTTTTTTTATGAAAAAAAATACTCGTTTTTTATTACTTGAAAAAAAGGCAAGAAAGAATTTGGTTTCTTTTTTCAAGAAATGGCACTGTAACTTTGTAAAGACGTAATACTGGTCCCTGCAAAATTTTGACCAAACCTATCGAACCGTTAAAGCTGTGCATCTATTTAAATTTTCGTAATAATTGTTATAAAATTATCACTAGTCTATGACAACATATAGTTTGATTTGCATAGTAGAATCAGTCTCGATATCATGAATCATTGTGGTTACGCCACTATACTGCATAATATCTCGACTGATCCGTGATTTTTAATGATATATATGATAAAACATGAAATAACTATTACTTATAATTGTCTTTAATTAATGCTAACCATCAATATAAGAATGAATCATGGGAGTAACGCATAATTATGAAGATGGTTCGTACCATTTATCCTTTTTTTTTAGCGCACTGTATAACAAAAATTTGGGTTAATAAAATTTGATTTTTGAGACTCTTTCCACTTGCTATTCACTGCAGAACGTTCATTTCGGAACTTTTCCTGTACAATCAGCTCATACCAAATTTTGAAAAAAAGATCATAACCAATATAAAGCGTAGCACAAATATTAAGCCGTTTTTACATTTTTTATATTTTTTATAGTGATCACTTGTATTTGTAATTAGACTGATGTAAGACTCCTAGCGCTAGTAATACATGTATACCCCACAAGATTTTTGGTGATACTCGTATTATTTTTGTTTTACAGAAAAAAAACAGTCATAATAAATAATGAATGGAGGGTTTGGGTTGTGATTTATATGTTTGTATGGCCAATAATTAAGTTTATTTGATTTCTTCCTTTTATTATTTTAATCATCGTTTTATTGTGTAAATATGAGTAGAATAATATATCGTGCAATGAAGCTCAAAGTTCATCTCTTTCGATAAAACTTTAAGCTTTGTGATCTTTATCATTTTGTAATACTTTTGAAATTTTTTTTTGTACGTTTCTAAAAGATAAGGACTTGTAAAAATATTATCTTTTTACCACATATATTCATGCTATGAATACAAATATTTATGAAAATATCCTTGCAAATTATTGAACATTTTGTGTTCTATATCAAGTAACATTGAAGATAACCAGGGTTTCAATATGATTAGAGATTCTGTAGACAGCATTAATATTCTGAGTGGGCTGACATTAATGACCCGAAACTGACTTGGTTATAATTATTAAATTTATATGACGTAAAGTACTACTGATGTGTTCGATGCATTTACAAGATCTAAAAATATATCGGGGCGTATTTTCCATTTATCCTCGACAATTTTCTACTCTCAGAGTATAAAGTCACTATTTTATAAGACATAGTATGTATACTATTCGAATATCAATAAATTTAGTTTTCAAAATTTTTCCAGGTACAACTAAGAATCGGAACCGTTTAACCGCTTAAAAGTTATTTCGGTCAAATTATGTTTGTGTCATGGGTTAGAATTATTTTACTGCTGGTTGAATTAAACGGTTAACAAGGTTAAACAGTTCAACACTTTATGGTAGGCCTTAACCTGTACATTGTAGTAAATTTATTACAATCGACTCAGTTTCGGATCAATTCGTTCAGACTAGAGACACCGGACAGATGCGATCACATAATAGATACTAAATTTAGGTTGTTTATGTCGCATTATGCGGTGCATTTTAAGCGAATAATATTTGCACCATTATATCACGGCCTCCTTTTGTTGTAATTGTTATGATATTGATATTAAATGTCTTCAAATCATAATCATAACGTTGTATAGTGATAATTAAATTTAATAACAATATAAATATGTATGGGGTTCCTTACATAATTATCGCAGAATTTGAATTTATCACATCACAACAAAATACGTTTCAAATTGCATATTCTGGACACTCTAGTTCAGACCACTGGGCATCATTATATAACCTTACCTACTTTTATTAATGATTTATGGTTAATTAAAAATATTATATTATAAATATTATAAAATCTTTTCGTGATGCGCAATTAACATGCATTATATCATGATATCATTATATTTATTCTGATGATAAACAAGTTTAGAATAGTTTCTCATCACCTTTTAATGATAAAAACTTGTTATGCGACATAATATACATAATATATCAGATATCATCACTACAAAAAAAAAATGCCACCAATTTATTTAATGTAATAACAGTAATATCTTACGATACCTTTAATCACTGGATCAAATATAATCAGGTAGCAAGAGATATTTAATAGTTGTAAGCTTCGTTAATCGTACATTGATCTAGACGATCATTTCTAAGTAGAAAGACTTATAGTACGGAAAACCTCTGTCAAAAATGGTTGAAAAAAACGTCGTTCCTTTAGGTCGTGGTAAAGCAGGTGCGAGCCAAGGTAAAGGGCTAGGAAAAAAAAAAGGAAAGGGGCACAGAGTAAGTTTTTTAGTTATAATATTACTGCATCAAAATAATAATAATAATTTCGTTCATGGTGATAACATTCAATTTAGAAAATACTACGAGAGAATATCAGAGGGGTTACGAAACCCGATCTACGAAGGCTTGCCCGTAGGGGTGGGGTAAGAAGAATTTCAGCTGGAACATACGAAGAAGCAAGAACCGCATTAAAAAATTTTTTATGCGAAGTTCTAAAAGACGCTGTCTCTTATGTGGAATACAGGGACAAAAAAACGGTTACTGTATTTGAAATGCTATTAGCATTAAAAAAACGCGGTAAAACATTATATGGATTTAAAGCAACATAACAGCGAGCGAATATAAAGGCATTTTTGTACTCTTATAAATAAATATATTGATATAAAATATTACTTGTGCCAAGAAATTCTTTTTTATATATCTTTGTGTAAGGAGCTAGTTCTGCAAATTTAATATCAGGTTAAATGGTAGTTTCGAAACAATTAGCTGTTAACAAAATTTTGTTCATAACCAACTGCTCTGATTTCATTATCTTTCGTGAAAAAATGAAATTAATTTTTATAAACTTATTTCTAATCTTATTTCTTTTGACTATATGGGATCTTTGCTAGGAAAATCACCCTCCGACATTTTCCGATAGGGCTAATTCGGAACATTTTAAACCAACATACCGGTTCTTATTTACATATAAATCATTTTTTGCCTTATTGATTCAATAGCTTATCGAATGGGCATTTGAATCAATGAAGGCAAAAATGGTTTACATGCAAATAAGTACTGGTATGTTGGTTTAAAATGTTCCGAATTAGTCCGATCGGAAAATGTCGAAG